GGTGATGGAGATTTACCACTGATTACAGAACCGGCTTTCTGACAAGATGCGCGTTAAATATCGCATGCGATTAATCGTGCAGCCCTACTACAGTGTCAATATTTGCTTTTTTGTAAGCTTTGGGTAATTGAAAATATGGGAATTTTATTTTAGGTCTATTCTATTATAGATGGCCTCAATGTATGGCTAACAGATACGGTCTAAAACAGTGGTTCCCAACCCTGGTCCTGGAGGCACCCCAACACTGCATGTTTTGCATGTCTCCTTAATCAAACACACCTGATTCAGATCATCAGCTCATTAGGAGAGACTCCAAGACAGGGCTGTCCAAACTCGGCCCTGGAGGGCCGGTGTCCTGCAGAGTTTAGCTCCAACTTGCCTCAACACACCTGACTGGAAGTTTCTATGCCTAGTAAGAGCTTGATTAGCTGGTTCAGGTGTGTTTAATTAGGGTTGGAGCTAAACTCTGCAGTACACCGGCCCTCCAGGGCCGAGTTTGGACAGCCCTGTCTTGGAGTCTCTCCTAATGAGCTGATGATCTGAATCAGGTGTGTTTGATTAAGGAGACATGCAAAACATGCAGTGTTGGGGTGCCTCCAGGACCAGGGTTGGGAACCACTGGTCTAAAAACCCCAAAGTTTTGCCCTTTAAAGCTGGGACTGAATCTGACCTAGTCCTCTACATTTCCACAAATGTGTTATTGCTAGTGCTGTTAAACTGCTGTTATTTATTTGACAAAATTAATAGGAATTTTGAAATCATCACATTTTATGCTAATATTGCTTAAATTAACAAGAAATAACTATTTCTGAGATAGTAGTAGTGATTTTAAAATTGATTAAATAAAAAATAAAATGTTTTATAAAAATAAGTCAATCATTGCAGTTGGCCCAGCTTTTTTCATTCTTTAAAAAATAACTTTTTGCAAAATTTCAAATGTATGTTCTACATCAGGGCTGTCCAAACTCGGTCCTGGAGGGCCGGTGTCCTGCAGAGTTTAGCTCCAACTTGCCTCAACACACCTGACAGGAAGTTTCTATGCCTAGTAAGAGCTTGATTAGCTGGTTCAGATGTGTTTAATTAGGGTTGGAGCTAAACTCTGCAGGACACCGGTCCTCCAAGACCGAGTTTGGACAGCCCTGTTCTACATCATATACTACAAACAGATTGGTTGAAGTATATTATGTGATATATACACTTCTGTTTTCTTTCTAAAAGAAATCAAGTTTTTTTTTTTTTCTTTATATCTTTATATTTCCTTGTGAATATATTTTTGGGAGTTTTCTAACTCATCCAGTTATCAGCTTCATTTCAGATTGCGCAAGCTCTTGATTTTAAATGTTAACTGAACATTAATGTCTTTTGTAGCTGGTTGTGGGTACTTAACCATCCTCTCAATCCAGTGCTAACACATTTTAACCATATTGCTGATGTATTTCATGTGATATTGGTCATCTTGAAGTTTACTGAGGCCCCCTAGTGGCTTCTGAACCTTCAGTTGAGAACTATTTATGTAGAACATGAATTTCCCATGAAATTATATTTCCTCTGTGCTCAAGGACTTACAGTTAAAATCAACCCAACATTATATGGCTGCTAAACATTGAATGGGATAAAAGAGAAATACAGCTTTTTAATTAATGATTACTTTGTTCTCTGTTGTTTGATGATTTGGGCAGAACAAGCATAGTACACACTGGGCATGCGATTGAAGTGGTCGAGTTATTGCTTCATGTTTGAGTCTGCATGATGCAGCCCGCTGGCTCCTTGATATGTCTTCTGTCTTTGTTCTTTGGCTGTGGGGTGTATGCAAGCTTTTGGTGTCTCTGGCTTCCGAGTCTATTTCCCTGTCCGTGTGTTATTTACAGTCAGTATATCAGAGTAAGTCTCCCTCCAGTCAGCCCAGAGCATATTAAGTCTGGCATAATTTATTTAACATCTTTGTGGTGGAGATTATGAACTGGAAGTCACCAGTTTACTGAGAATTATAGAAATGTTTCACCCAAAAAATAAACATTCAGTCATTATTTAATCACCCTCATGTTGTTCCGAACCTTTATGCTGTTATTTTTCCTATGCAAAACAAAAAAAAAAAATTTTTTTATTTAATATAATTTCATATACCACTGTTCAAAAGTGCAGGGTTGGTAAGATCTTATTCTCACTAAGGCTGTATTGTGAAATTACCATTAATATATATTTTATATGAACTATATATATATATATATATATATGTATATATGTGTAAAATTTCCATACTATGAACACTTATGTATAATAGTTTAATGATTTGGAGGATGAGTAAATAACAACATAATTTTGGGGGGGTGAACTGTTAAATTCTGATGAAAATTCACATTATAAATATGTAATTCCATTTGCATGGACTGAATTTATTTAGCAAAAATCAATAATTTTTTCTTAAGAGTAAATTGGTGACTACTATCAGTGTGTTTCATGGTGAAAACTTTAAAGATGCAGGGTCTCCTTTTCTGCTTTCACGAGCTCCATTTGGTTTTATTTGAAATTATAGAGATTTGACAAAACTGCAAAGCCAAAGGTAATATACTTCATCAAACAGACACTTCACTTGAGAAACAAGGCACAGATTACAAATAATGTTCCTTGGTTGCCTTGACTACATTTTCCAGGCTTCCTGAGGCAAACAATTTGACAGTTTTCTCTGTAGTTTATAATCTAGTTAGCGTCATTCCCAAATTTGTTTTGCTTTAGAAAATCTCAGTACCAGAAAAGCAGTTAGACACCATTTTCTCTGTAATTTTCTTAAGAATATATCCTTTGGCGTATTTTCATCATACGTACAGTTAGAAAATCAAAGCATGCCACTTAACGTTACACTAGAGGTTCACAAGTGGTGCGAAAAGGACAACTGCATCATCTTCATGTTCATTGCATTTCTCGTTTGTGGTCAATATCGATTTGTCTCTTTCTTTCCTTTTGTACACCCCCATTTCGGTCCTGACTATGTCCAACTATTTTTCTTGGATTGCACTCTGTCCTTTTTTCTTTCTATTCTCATGTTCACTGCCCTGCTCCTCTCCCCTTTTCTTCCTTTCCTCCCCCCACTGTGTTCCTCTCTTCACTATCCCATCCCGTCCCGTCCCCTCCCCTCCCCTCCACCCGTTTGTGATGGGTCCTTCAGCTGGCGTTGTTGCAGTACCGCCTCAGTATGTCCAGCATGCTGTGCCAACCCCCCGCCCCACCAGGCTCTGGGACCCTCCACACATACCAAGTACTTTTACCTTTTCATTCAGTTCCACGGGCTTCCTGGAGGTAACCTAAGATTAGATAGTAGTTAGACTAGGGGTTGGTTTTAACACTAAAGATTTAGGCAAGTCTTAAGTTGGGAGATTTGGTCTGATTAGAATGTGTGATTGAATTAATGTGACTAATAATTAGTCTTGTGATTTACTAAATTATTAGGATATTGTGATGTTGAGAGCTTGTAAATGTGAGAAATTGTTTTTTTTTTTGTTTTTTTTGAAAGCGTGTCTATTTTTATGTAGATTTTAACCCATTTTATGTTATTTACTCTTTTTATTTATCTTGATCTTTTTGGGGTGTTTGTTCTTGTGTCTTCAACTATGCAAACACTACTGCACTACACAGAATATGCAGACCAAATTGCCAAGACATCTTTTGTGTGATTGTTTTTGAAAATACCTTGTTTGTATATATGAAGCCTCAAGTATGATAATATATCTGTGGATATCATGTAAGGGGTTCTTGTCAATCAGTCTATGCTGCCTGTTTACACCTGGTATTGACATCCATCTCAGATGATCTGATCAAAAGTGGATAGATGAGACATGACATTTACACCTGGTAGTAACAAACATCATTGGGGGGATGGTCTCATTTTTGCAGGTTTGTTACCACATTTAGCTTCTAAATTAACATTTAATTTTTTTAAAGAGTATTTAAAATGTTATTAACATTTTTATTTTATTTCTTTTTAAATAATTGTTTTGTTCAAAGTAAGCTTATAAAACTCAATTTTAACAAAAGCTACATATGTATCTTAGTGTTTCATTAATTATATATGAACTTTAGCAAAACCAGTGTGAGAGAAAAAAACATTTTATTAATATTTATGTGAGGTTTTATTTGAAGTTGTATGAAATGTATACATTGATACATACAGTCATGGCCAAAAATATTGGCACCCTTGGTAAATATGATCAAAGAAGGCTGTGTAAATTAATCTGCATTAATCCTTTTGATCTTTTATTTAAAAAATTCACAAAAATCTAACCTTTCATTGGATAATCAGAATTTAAAATGGGGGGGAAATATCGTTATGAAATAAATGTTTTTCTCTAATACACATTGGCCACAATTAACGGCACCCTTTTATTCAATACTTTTTGAAACCTCCATTTGCCAGTTTAACAGCTCTAAATTTTCTCCTATAATGCCTGATGAGGTTAGAGAACACCTGACAAGAGATCAGAGACCATTCCTTCATCCAGAATCACTCCAGACCCTTTAGATTCCCATCTCCATGTTGGTGCTTCTCCTTTTCAGTTCACCACACTCATTTTCTATAGGGTTCAGGTCAGGAAACTGGAATGGCCATAGCAGAAGCTTGGTTTTGTGCCCAGTGACCCATTTTTGTGTTGTTTTTGAGGTTTGTGTTTGGATTATTGTACGGTTGGAAGATGCAAACATGGCCCATTATAAGATTTCTAACAGAGTCAGTCACTTA